TATATATATATATATATGTTTAATAAATGTAAAAGTCTTTAATATATTTATAAAAAAAATTTGTTGTAATTATTTTTTTAATTTTATAGAATATCTCGACTTATTAATTTTAATTCTGTTTGAGGAAAAGAAATCTTATATCAAGTAGAATAATATTAAATTTTGCACAAATTTTTTATTAAATTCTAAACTGTCAAATTCTTTTATCTTTAAAAGAAAATTTAATCAAGATATCGGAAATGATATTATTTAATTATTTTCTACATTTTCAAAACTCTCATCAAACATATTTCTTTGGGAAATAAAACTTTTAAATCGTTTCCAGAAGAAAAGAAAAGGAATAAAAATTAAAAAAAAAAAACATTCAAACAGGAAAAATAATTAAAATTTACATATTTCCCCCCCTTTAAAAGCTCTCATTTATAAAATAAGATATTTGAAAACTGTTGTTGTTCTTTTTAAGAGAATTTTTTTTAAAGATTAAAATTTAGTAATTTTTTTTTTTTTGTTTACAGAAATTTTGTGCGTAATATACAAAGACTTCGAGTGCTTCGTTAATAAAATTTCGTCATAAAAATACATTCAGTTTATCGATAAATATTCGATGATTATTTAAAAAACAATCTGATTTACGTCAATTTGACCAGGAACTTTTTTTTTGTTTTTTAATTTGAACACATCAAAGGCGTCCAAGAATGTGAGGTTCATCCGCTTGAGCCAGTTCGTCATCTGGTGCAGATTTGTCACGTTTTCTCTTTCTGGAACAAATCACAAATATGATACCAGCAATCACATAAAAGACAAAATCTAGCCACGCCAATATAGAAGAATAACCAAATTTCCATTCTATACGCTTAGGAAATCTTCCAGGAGCATATTTCTGTTCGTAGTGAAGGCAATTAATCAATACTTCGATGACTACGAGAACAGCTCCAGCTATAAGAATAGAAAACATTATTATTATTTTTTTTTAGTGTTAAATATAATAATAATCTGTATTAACAAAAAAAGGAAAATATTCTATTGCCTAGGAGCAGAGCAATTACAAATGTTAATATAAACAATTTATTCTACAAATATTATTATTTATTTATTAATACAAGCAATGACAATAATAACCATCCCCAATGCAACGAACAATAAACGAATCCCATTAAAATATTATAGTAAAACCTGTGTAAACAGGTTATTTTAATCCTGAATTTTCCAGGTTAAGTATTAAATAATATGTTTTTTTTTTCTTCTTTTATAAAAATTAACGTAACCGAAACTTTTACTAGAAAATATCAAAATAAAAAGAAAGAATTCATTCATTCATTTTACTTGGCACAAATTCTTGTCAAAGATATTTCAACTTCAGAACAAAAATATTCGTTTTATGAAATAAAAATGAATTGTAAAAGAATTTAAACATTTACCTGTAAAAAAATGTATTCCTCCAACAAGTCTTTTATAAGTATATCGGGGTTCTTTAAACGTGTAAAGGCTAAATCCCAATCCCATAAGCATCAACAATACAGTGATGACTGAAAACACCGCCTCTGTCCTAGAATAATCTATAAATAAGAAGAAAATGAGTATTTTAATATATATATATATTTATTTAGAATTTAGCTGCCAGTTATAAGAATTTTTATTTTTAAAAATCAACAGACAAAAGGAGGTTAACGGAATGAGAGTATCCAATTTAATCTGTTTCGTGCAGCTAACTGATTGGCAAGTTTTCAAGACACGAGTTCTAATGTTTACAAAATAAACAGAATTAAAATTACATAGAAACTAGAAATAAAAAAATATTTAGACCATCTCTTATAACTTAGCATGGGAAATGTGAATGGTATAAAGCGCCATGTTGCAGTTGCTACACAAGATTTGCCACATAATTAAATAAGTAGATCTTCTGTATGCAAAATCTCCAAATTTAACCAAATCCATAGAAATAAAAAAATATTTAAGGATAAGACTATCAAAATCCAAATTTTTTAGAAAATATCGCATGAAAAAAGTTCTCCAACTNATCCTTACGTATCTACAAAACTCTGAAAAATTAAGTTGAAAAGTTTAAAATGGAAAAAAAAAAAAATTATTCTCAAATTCTAAATTAAATAGTAAAATTTGCCATCGTCAGAAACGAAAAAGCATTTAACAATCATCTTAAATATGAAAATAAAATTGATAAAATTTGATTTTTCATACAAGCGTATTTAGATAAATGATTTTTCAAAATGCAATTTACAGATAATACAAATCGAATATAAAATTTAAAATATATATATATTAAAATACAAAAGAAAAGTGAAGAAATATATAATATGCTTCAAGCTATTCTCCATTTAAATAAAATATAGATCAATTGCAAATATTGACTTATTTAATTTAAAAACGAAACGTTAACGTTAATTACCAACGTTTAATCAGCGAATAAAATATTTTAGAAGATAAAAAAATCGAAAAAAAAAAATTTTTTTTAACTTTTTTAAGTCCACGAGGCATAACTAAAAAAAAAGTTTAAGATTAATTATAAAATTCTTCAATTTTATTCTAATCGAGTAATATGCATGAATTATAATATATATATAAATAAACAAATTTTACAAGTTTTTATTAAGAAATTCGACATAATATTAATAAAATCATTGAAGATTTCTAATTAAGTAACGAATTAAAATTTTCTTTCGTTTTATATCCACGTGAAAGAGATTGACTTGTTTCTAAAGACCAAAATACTTTGTGAGTCAGCACATATTCTACAAATTGATCAACAGCAAGAAGGATTAAAGTCTTATATTGACACATTCGTCTTTGCATATAACAGTCGAGTACAAAGCTACTTTGTGAATTCACTTATTTTTGTTTTTATAAGCTTTGATCTTTTATCTTAATTTCTATTTTTAAATTAATTAGATTCTTACAAAAAGTTTTCTTTATTTTATTTTATTTTTTTCGTATAAAAATTTATTATAGTAATAAGAATGTAGAAAAGATCTTATTGCTAAGATATTATTTTATAAAATTATTATTGAAAAAAAAATTATTATATTATATATGTATGTAAATGACAAACATTATATAGTTGAAAGTCTAATATATTACATATATTTCGGAATGTCTGTTGTTTAGTTAGTTATTTTCGAATGTTTATGTCACGACATGTCATCGAAGGGATGCTTGCCAAGTGGATGGAATATCATTTCACTTACTTTTTTAAGAAGAGAATGTTCTTAGATCTGTCACGTTTTCATTAATAGCTATAGAAACAATTCCTTTAGAAAGTAAGCGTTAATATAAAATTATATTCCGTATTTTTCGTTACGATAGTTATTTAAGTTGTTTCTGATGCAAATTTGACTGAATTGAAGCTACATCTTCTTTTATTCTATTGATTTTTCTAAAGTTTTGTGACTATTAAAGAAATATCTTAAGAGACAGAGAGAGAGAGAGAGATTGAAAACTTAAAAATCTTCTAGAAAATTATTTTATCTAATTTTCTTTGAAAAATTTCTTTCTTAAATATTTTACGAAACATTATTATAGATTAATACATAACATTAACATTTTATTCAATAATTATATTAAAAGTAAATATATATTTTCAGTTAACATATGTTAATTTTTAAAGGAATAAAACTCTGTAGAGATCTCACTACAAGATTTTTATTTAAAAATAAATAAATAAATAAAAATCTCTACAAAGTTTTTTAGCTTATAATTAGAAAACAACGATTTAATTCTTCATACGAAACAGAGCGGTGTTATAGTTATTATTTTTAATTCTTTAGTTAAATATAATTATAAAACAACGTTTTATAATATGTATATACACATTTAAATCTTATAATTACAAATTAAAATTAATCAATACGCGATTTATAATTTCAAGAAATAAAAGAATGTATAAATTCTTTATGTAGATCTGTAAGGTATAAATTTTTACAAATTTAAAAAAAAATATGTCATAATATAATTTATTAATATTTTTATTTTGAATATAAACTGTTCTTCGGGCAATTTTCTTTAGAACATTCTATATATCATATAGTAGCCTATAAAGTTCTTTTATATGTGCCTTCTATTCTTAAAAGTAAACTATTTACAGCAAAATAAAAAAAAAAAGAAGAGAGAGAGAGACGTAAGAATACGTGCTTAGAATAAAACATGAATTTGAGATGTTAAAAAAGATAAATTATATAATAATTTCACATAAGAAACAATATAACAATATATATTTATTATATTTTAATAATAATGAATTAATTTGTAAAAATAATAAAAAAATAAAACAACGAACAATAAAGAATTTTTACTAAAATATATATTAAAACACTAAAATAACGTATAATATAGATATTAGTAATATAATTTTATTAATAACGAGTTAATTTAGAGCAGATTGTCGGGGAGATAACTGAAATAGGGCAGTAAAAAAAAAAGGCATTGTGGTTTATTTACAAAAGGAAAAAAAAACATTATTGGAATGAGTTATTTAAACTAAACAAATATCTAAAATAGGTAACCATTGTTAAAAAGAGTAGCAACGTACCCTGTTCGGTTCCGTTCTGAATCGTCGTTCGACAAAGCCTCCAAAGTCCGACATTACTTCTCAGAAAAATGGTTTTGGTTCTGTTCATATAAATGCCAGCTCCAGGTGCACTGAAGTAATACCAATAATCTGTCGATATAGATACGAACCATAGTAATATACCAAGGGCACAACCAGCTGTCACTGCTATCAATAAGCGTTGCTCTATGACTCTTTGGGATGATTTTTGAGCCATTTCTTGTCTCTTAGCATTTTTTTTTTTTCACTTCATAATTTCACTCGGTACGTTTTCGGTGTTAAATAAAGCGAATTTATCTATTATAATAGAAAAAAAATTGCAAGATTTCAACTATAAATCTTATAATTACTTATAAAGAAGTAGTTTAACATTTTATTAGGGTGAAAAAAAAGATTAAATGAAGAATTTTTTTTTACATTTTTTTTTTCGACTGTAACCTTAAGGTACAGTGACATTAATTATTTTTTTCCACTACTTTTTTACGATATTCTGAAAACGGTGATGATAGTTATTGTAATAAATGATTGCTAATTGTGTCAAATTAATTTTAAAATAGGCTTTTTTTTTCTTACTTGGCATCGAAAATTTGATAAGGAAAGAGAACTTCGAGAGAATAATACTGTCAAAAGTTTTTGACGATCGCTCGAAAAAAGCCTAAAGTATAGAAGAATGCATTGTAGAAATCAACCAATCAGAACGATTCCAAATCCAAGTTAGATAGTTGGATGTCTGACAATCATTTCTTATCTGTGGGGTCATGCAATGCTTTCTATATATAGCATTTCCATTGTTTCTCATTCTGACATAAGGCAACTCGAACAAGGTAACATTCTTACGCACAGAATGGCTTTATTCACTATTAATAATGTGGTTAAATTATTTTATATAATTATTTTAAAAAAATTCTTTTATCCAATTAATTATTAAAATATACGTCCCTCTTATAATTAATATTCTTAAGTTTGTAATATAAGGATCTTAAGGAAACAATGTCTTATGTAACCTCCAGCAATTTATAATTAGCAACATTGTACGGACGAATTATTCATTAATCATTTAAGAAAAATAGATTTTATACTACGCAATTATAAGACTATATTTAAAATACTTATATAATAAATTAAAAATTGTCTTTCACTTTCTTTCTTTCTTTCTTTTTCTAATTTAAAAATTTTTAATGCTGTTTAATCGATAATTATAAGGCAATAAATTTAGGAAAATATTCCTTATCCTTAGAGAATATAAACGTTTAATCTTACCGATAAATTTTCTCGCTGTGCTTATTTTTTAGTGGAAAACTTGTGATAAACTGTTGTGTGAAAAAGAGGAGCAGCGCTCAACAGAAAAGCAATCCGGGACAATGTACTACGCTTGTCTGAAGATCTTCACTGGAACACTCTATAATCACATGGTGTTGTCACATGATCCCAATCACAGTCTCTAGAGAAAACATATGTGCCTTCTACAAACGAATAAACGCAAAGAAACACTCAAAATTCCATTCTCTGATCGTATTTCTTACTACTAAATATCAAATATTTGACAGAAACTAAAAATATAACTAATTTTAAGAACATTTCTCTATATTAAACCTATTGAAATGAACTTAAGTTTTGTGTAAACTTTCGAAGTGTATATTGTTTTAAATCTTATATTTTACGATTGTGAAGCGATTATAAAATAAATTTATTAAAATTTCATTTATTTTATTATTATGTTTTTAAAAATATAGAACGAAAGAAAAGTTTGATAAATATAACAATTCCCAATAGAGATATAGAAATTGTAATTTTTCAAAATGAAAGCAACCATTTTATATACTATCAATCTTACATTTTAATTAACTTTTATTGAATTATTTTATTAAACAGTTCGAATTCTAATATAATAAACTATATACATAAATAGCGTAAAATCAGTGGTAAATTTTATATATAAATCTATCGAAATAAACATAATTATAAACAGTTTCTATACGTTAAAAAAAAGTAATTATTTATATTATTTTTATGAAATTTAAACATCATATTTAGTACACATTGAAATAATGACTGTAAATTTTATGGTTGGGATGATTGTATGGATATTTTTCTACAAATAAAATAAGACCCAATGGCCAAATTCTGTTGTTAATGTAGTAAAAGTTTCCGGAAATGCAAGAGTTCTTCCACAAAAGATTGAATTGGAATCTTTCCAAATGATGCAGTTTCGAGCTCTAACATGGCTTCTTAATGAAGTAGTTTTGCTTTACAACTGCACTTGAGCTTGAAACCGAAGGCCAGATTCATATATGATGGATTTATTTTTCTTTATACATCATTTTATTATTATTTTATATTTTAAAAAATAGTTTAATCTGTTTATTTTATTCTAGATTAAAAAAAAAATAGAATTAAATATTGATAAATTTATAGCTTTTATAATTTAAATTTAGAAAATAAATGAACAGTTTTTTGTTTATCTCATGTATAAATTAATATCTTTAGGGAAGGATTATAAATTATTATAAAAAATTGAAAGTTTGTTTATTAAATTAAATTAATTTTTTTTACACTTTTTATATCAACTGGAAAATAATTTAAATACTTTTTTTAATATATATTTTTCTCCCTTTTTTTTTACATTAGAAGGATAAATTAAATTCCTAGGAGACTTTACTAAAAATTCAATCCCATTCGATGATTAATGCATAGTCTGAAGGGATAAAGTATAATAACCTGAAGAGAAGAATTTTCAAACATGTACAGGACAGCTGGGAATTACTTTAAAAAATAAAAATAACAAAAGAACGAGAAAACATCTACTCGTAAAAATTGATTTTAAAAGATTATTATTTCTAATTTTTTTTTTTAATTAGGGGAAAAAAAAACAATAAATTCTATTTAATATATTGATACCAAAAATAGCAAAAATAGATAGATAAATAAGGAGAATTATTAAATTTAAAACTGTTAATTGTTACCTATTGAATGAAATTTTCATAAAAATGTGCCGCCATCTGTTGAGTAAGCTTGAAAATATTTGTCTATTTATAGCATTAAAGATGTTAATTTAATGATACAAAGAAAGGTGTTGTAATAAGAATTATGAGATTTTAATATATTATATAAACAGTTTGAAATAAAATATACAACACGTGTCTTCCTTATTAC